TACATATTAAATAATATCATAATATAAAATATTATTATTATCCACAACCAGGATAAACCACATGCAAACGCCTAAGGATTAATGAGGAGGAATTTGCATTATCTATTTCACTGCATCTGTAATTCCCAAATCCAACCTGGGTGTCTTGCAGAGCTTGCTATGTTGAGTTACTCACCCCAAAATTTAACTGGGATCTTTTTCTGGATCTAATTGGATTTTTTTCTTTTATAAAACTACTCTTGTCAGATTGGTTGTGGGTCTCCCAGCTGCCCGTGGATCTGTCTCACATGGCTTTGGACATCTCTGATGTACACTTCCAAATCTAAGTGGGTTTTTTGACTCAAAGGGACACTGGATGATAGAATACACCAAATCAACACAAAATCACTCATAAAACTGCCTTATTTTGTCCAATATCTCTTACTTCACCTACCTTCTCAGGGTCATGGACATTTCTGATGCCGGAGTCTCCAAACATCTCTCTGCAGGCTCAAAAACCCCCCTGACCACCACCTCTTTTATTGTCAGCTGAGATGCAGGTGCTCAGCTGGTGTCAATCTGTATCACTAATTAGGTTATAATGAGCAACCTCTTCTAACCAGGTCATTAGCGTGAAGCCAAACTCAGTAGGAAACAAACCTATGTTTTAGGGGACGGGAACATTGACCTTAGGAAGAGCTTGCCCATAGAAGTGGTGACCTCATGGTCCTTTGAATTCTTCAAAGCCAGACTGGGTGGCTTTCTAAGAGCTGGGATGGAGCCAAATCAAACCAGTAGCTACCCAACAGAAACTGGGTGGAAATGGATGCTTTGTGCCCACAGACGTCAAACTGAAGGTTCACAATGACCTCGGTACCTGTGACCTGGATCACACTGTGTTTTGGTTCGAACAGAAGCAGCCTGAGCCTTCTTGCCTTCAGGATTTCTCCAGCGGAGCTGAACGCTGTAGGAGAGGGAGGTCAAGGGCCTTTTGGTGCTCAGCTCTCGCAGATGCATGGACTCACAGGAGCAGGAGCAGGAGCAGGAGCAGGAGCAGCCTTCGTCCCCTGGGTGACTTCAGTAACAAAACATTCAATCACATCAGTCACGGTCCCAGGTCCCGTGAATCCCCTCTGACCGGAGATAGACATTTTTTTTAAAAAGACATAGTTTAATTTGAAATCCTGAAGACGCCCAGTGCATCACCTGAAGCCTCCGGGCTTTCAAGCAGAATAAATATTAACATCATTAATGAATAATCGCAACATGATCATTAACCTCAGCATTAATGACAGCCAATGGATGGCTGGGAACTGAGCATTGAGTTATTCCAAAAGTATCACCCCGTAGGTGGATCTTTCATGACTCGAGGCTGTATTAGAACTTTAAAAAAATGGAATAGGAATTTTGCAGATCAAGTCATGCTAAGCAGAAACAGGATGTAAAACTCCTAGAAAAAATTCGCATTTTGTTTTTATTTAAAGATGTCAAAAAGGAATTGGAAAAACACAGACTCTGATTTGACCAAAACCCAATTCCAGATTCCCATGATGAATTTGCATAGTTGTCTGCATCTAAGGTTTCTGATATTGGCAAGACCGAAGCCATGTATTTTCCCGTGCAAGGATGAGATGAGGCAACAAGAACTTTCTATCCCATATTTCCTCTTTGGATGACCAGAGACCCCAAAGAAAGTCATCAAACTTCACCATTTCTGCATTCAAAACCAAAACACAGGGCTATGAAATTAGACTTGATGGAAACACTTCTGTTTAATAAAACCATATAAAGGAGTGACTGACGTCCAAAAGGCCTCTGCACGGCTCTGGAATCCACTGCTCCTCCATCTTAATTATAATTTTGATGTTAATTGAGCACTCACTAGCTCTGAACAAGCCGCCTAGCATCTCAGTGGAACAGCGTGACCGTATGCAAAATGAACAGAAACCTTTTAGGCAGTTCACAAGCATCACACAAGAATTAACTCGACATTAAAAAATTGTAAAAAATTTACAGAACAAATTGGTAATTGCACAAAATTGAGGGGTTGGTCAAAAACCATGAGGCAAAAACTAAATAGATGAAGGCACATTCAACAAATAAGTATAGACTGAGTGCGTAAATCACGAATTGCTGTGGGGTACCTCATTTCCGGCAGGACAATCCGGAGCTAAATAAAAGGTGTCCCCATCCCTTCGCTCCTCACTCAACTGCACTGCTCAGTTAGCACGGTAAGTGTCACCTATTAGCAGTGTTCTTTGATTGCAATGGTTCTCATTTGCTTTTGGTCGAGCAATGAATTGAAATGTGTCGTTATCCGATCTACAGCGCTGGGAAATCCAGATTTTCCCAGCCTGTCGGTCTATTGCTTATTGCAAGAGATGGTCGGTAGAGAGAGCAAGGGCCTCGGGAGTGGAAAACAAACGTTTTGGGTGGAAATTCAAGGAGTGATGCTCATGGATGAGCACCAGGAAGTTCGTTCACAAGATAGTTCAAAAGATGCACAAATATTGATGGGATAGCAATAGCCTGATTTCTGTAAGGGTCTTGTTTTGCAACTAGGAAGAGGCGTGTGGTGTGGCTATCACCCACGGGCCTGGACAGCAGCATTTGTATGCCAAAATAAAACACATCTATGAACTTGGAAAGATGGGCTGTATCTGAAAGTATGATGTGTTTCAGGTCCTCTCTCCCTCCAGCTTTGACTGCACCACAAACAACATGTGCTCTACGGGATGCTGCTCCGTTGTGAAGAGCAAAACGGTGTGCTGCAGCCAGCCATGCCAGAAGATCATCTGCTGCGACCCGTGCCAGAGGAGCGTCTGCTGCGACCCCTGTCAGCAGTCCATCTGCTGCGACCCATGCCAGAAGCCCTGCTGTGACCCGTGCCAGCAGTCCTGCTGTGACCCATGCCAACAGTCTTGTGACCCATGTCAACAGTCGTGCTGTGACCCGTGCCAGCAGTCCTGTTGTGACCCGTGCCAACAGTCCTGTGACCCGTGTCAACAGTCCTGCGACCCGTGTCAACAGTCCTGCTGCGACCCATGCCAGCAGTCCTGCTGTGACCCATGCCAGAAGCCTTGCTGCGACCCATGCCAACAGTCCTGCTGTGACCCATGCCAGCAGTCTTGTTGTGACCCATGCCAGCAGTCATGCTGTGACCCATGCCAGCAGTCCTGCTGCAACCCATGCCAGCAGACCGTCTGCTGCACCAAGGTGTGCCAGACGCCCTGCTGTGCCCAGCAATGCCTGCAACCCTGCTGCTGCAGCTGCCGCCCCTGCTGCTCTGGAGGTGTCTCTTGCTGCACCTACGCGGTGAAGAAGAAGCCCGCTGTGGTGTGTTGCAGCCCTGTGCAATGCTGCAGTCCCTGCCCTCCGAGGAAGTGCTCCATACCCATCCAGCAGTGCTGCGCCGCAATCAAGAAGCGTTGCTGAGCCAACTCGGAGTAGCAAAATCAGCTCTGTTGGCTCCCATCTCTGGTGTGTAACAAGAACCGGCACAAGGAGACTAAAATCTGCTCATTGACTTCTGGTTCACGTGGCGATGGAGTAAATGGCTAGCAAATTTCTTCTTGTTTTCGATCTTAAGCTGATATCTTGTTTCTGTCCTTTAATTATCGAACATCTGCAATGCACTAGAATATATCACCCCTTGTATAAGGCAAGGAGCTATTAGATATTAGTGTGGCTGTTCATTTCCTTCTTGGTGTATGGGACTTGGGATGATACCTTTGTAGATGATGTGATCATTCTTCATCTTCTCTCTTGACTTGTAGACAATAAAACTTAGCATTGAGCAAAACACAAACTATCTTGTCTTTTGGTTGTTGCATCCTCTTGCCCAGAATGTGTCCTCATTCTGGTGCAGTTTTCTGTGCCTTCATCCAAGTTCCTGCTGGCTACAGATGCCCTCCTATTGCACAGCAGAACATTGAGGAAACAAAGAACTGCCCAGTCGTGTTTTCCATTGGCATAAAGTGGGTCATGTCTAAGGACAGCAGAGTGGTATGATCCCCATCTGCCCCAGTCAGGCAGTTAAAGTCAGTTAAAACAAACTAGATGGTTATGGTAAGCAGCAGCCAAAGGACACGGTCTGGATGAAGCATGCATAATTCCACCAGCTGAAAACACAACGCTCCACGTATAGGAACTCATCCCTGATACTGGAATAGACAGTTCAATGGGTACCGAGAGGAACTCACTACTCACTGGACAGATGGCACCGTCTTCTTCCACTACCATCTTCAAAAATAAGATTTCATAAAAAACACCTCAAATGGTTGAATTCTTTTTATGTGAGCAGAGATTTCCATATGCGGCGTTCCTGGATTACAAGTGCTGGAATGAAACCCAGGTGTTAGCATACACCTTGAAAGCTTCATTCCTGAAATAGCAGGCGCATGAGTCAACACTACCCTTTCTACCTGGCTGGGACTTCCTTTGCCATTAAAATTCAGGACTCAGCTCTGAATTGCACATCTCGGGAAAACGCCTTGAGCGCTCTCTTGATTACTTCCCTCATCCAAACCTTCAGAGTGTACACAAAGTCTGCATTAGAATGATCTTCTCTACCATGTTAAGCTCTCCTGAAAAGAATATTGAGATCTTTAGGAGTTTTTTTATTGATAGGTAAATCAGGTACAATACACTGGCAGAAATAGAACCCATACCACACCATAACATTAAGGAAATCCTGGGATTGATTTCATTCTATGCTGGGAAAGCTGCCGTGAGAGATTCCTCCCAGTTCACAAAGGTGCTGCAGCTCCCAGATTCACGTAACCACCATGGAAGTTCACAAGGACATCATGGCATGGCATGTAAAAGAGTTTTAGTGTAGAAGGTGTTATTTCTAACCCAACCATATCCGAAATGCCAGTATCCCCTCAACATCCACACAAGACCCTGATTAGCAACAGCCTTGCAGGGTTCGCATTTCGAACACAGGAATCATTTTGGCCAATGTGACGACAATAAAGCCGGATAAAAAGGCGGTGAATGACTTATTCAGTGGACAGCATGCTTGAGAGTTTACACAAAGAGGACGTTACGTCTTGCAGGGAGGTATCCGGCCATTATCGTGTGACCGAAACACTGCTCCCCCGGGGACAATTCCAGAAGAGACACCTAATGTCGCAGGAGGTCATGTTCACGTCTTGGGAAGACACTACGTGTCCCAGCCACCACGGGTCACCTGCCATCACACCACAGTCTGCTGATCATGGTGGCAGCCTCTTTTGGCCATAAAGAGCTGCAGCCTCATCATTTTGGGACTTTCATCTTATACTGGTGTCTCCTTTCATCACATGAAAGCGCCATCAACACCTTCTTCATCTCGACACCTTCCTCATCTCACGTTGAGCTGTCCTGGCTCTGCACGTGGCCACAGTTGGTTCCTCCATCCCCAAACCAGTTTCATAATGTCTGCCTTGATTCCAACCATCAAATCCATGCCCTCCTGGCTGTTCAGTCATCTTTGCATGCACAGAAGCCTTGGCCTTAGCATTTTTCAGCCAAAACCACTGGAAGCAGTTGCTGGAGAAGTCCTCTTAGGTGCTTGAACTCAGAGCATCTTTGAGATATTATCTTCCAAGGTACAGAAGAAAGGCGTGGGGAAATGCTCTTAGGGTGCGATTTCCAGTCTTGAACCTCATGCTTGCCTACAGTGACACAGAATCAAAGTGTTAGCATGAAACACTCAAATGTGATCAACATGAATACCATTAATACAAGCTATCTCAACCTCACAGTGTATATGGAAAAAAAAACCCCACAGAGAAAAGCTAATGTGTGCATGACTGCTTTGAAAGCTGCTTATGGTCTTGATCCATCCCTTCCATGGATGAAAATGACAATAAATTCCTAATAGAGTAGAAAAAATAACAAGCAGGGGGATGAGAGGACCAAGCACCATGGAGGGACACCCAAGTACGAGACTGAGAAAGGAGAAACTCTTCATTCCCAACTTTGCCCACGCAGCCACCCCTCAGAGGCTGGAATCAAGGACTCATATTGACCCATAATTTCCACTGGTCCCCCAAAATCCCAGCCGAAAGCAGAGGGGCCATGTGAGGGTGACAGCTCCAAGTTCCAGGCGTGGTTCCCCCACTGCTTCAGCACCCGCCTGCCCCAGGCAAATTGTTGGGTGTCTCTGTGTCTCAAGGTCATTCCTGGGGAAGCAGATAGGAATACCTCGCAGCTACCTCCGCTTCCCATTAATGCAAATTCATTAGAAAATTTACACCTGTTGATTATGCGTGCGGCTAATTACGGCGCAGAATTGAGGTGGTGAGCAAACAGAAAGAGCTGAAGGTTAAACACCGGAAAACACATGAGAGGCATCTGAGGGGTGATACAGGGGAAGTGGAAATTGCTGGAGAATGCCTCATTTCCAGGGGGGGCGGCTTTGAACCGTATAAAAGGCTCCTGAACACAGTGGTCTTCACTCGTTCATCTTGACTTCTCCTCCCTTCTCCTCACTGGTCCACAGGGTAAGTCAGAGATTGCCTTTTCATTTGCGCTCTACTGTATTTTGGTGAGTGTAGGAAGTCATCCATGATTGTACTGTCTGTACATTCATGTACTGACTGGTTTGGGACTGATTTTGAGAAATCAGGTTCAGGACTCCCCTGGGTGGCTTCTTTCTGATGGACCCAGTGCTGGACAGTGTGCCAAATGCACTGGTGTCCAATGCAAAAACGTGGAGACCTCGTGGGATTCTGGACAACAGGGGCTTGGGGATGGACTTTGGGAGTCTGGGCTTTGGGATAAGCGTGCTTTAAGCTGCATAAACAACCAGGAAATTCAAGCAGAGATAAAGAAACTCCCTCTGTTCTTTCCAGCTCTGCCTACACTACCGACAACATGTCCAGCGGGTGCTGCGGTGGCAATAACAACAGCAGCTACACCGTCTGCTGCTACGGCAGCGCCAAGGGCTGCAAGAGGCCGGTGTGCTGCCCACCCACGCAGTGCTGCTCACCCATGCAGTGCTGCTCACCCATGCAGAGCTGCTGCACGCCCATGAGCTGCTGCATGCCCATGTCCATGCCCATGCCCATGGCCTGCTACACCTTGAGCAGCAACAACAACAACAACAACAGCTGCTGCGGCTGCGGCAACTAAACCTGCTCAGCGAAGGGCACCGAGGCTGCGCTCATCCCCTCTGTTGCTGCGCTGCCGGCCACTTCCCTCCTGGCTCTCTCAGTGTCGGATATGGATATGGACACGGATACATCCCCAGATGCTCTTCCTCCTTTGCTTAGAGACTGTAGCTCTTCTCTCCTTTACTCGTCCTTAATCGCCAAATGCCTATAATGTGCTTTGGAGTTGCCACCCACTAATCAATGTGATGTTCCTCTGTAAGCGTTATTCCTGGTGTTGATTTTCCTCTTGGTGTGCGGGATGTTTAATACTTTTCGCCACTGGTTTCCTTCAATCTGTCTGAAAAAACAATAAAATCCATGGTTCCTGATCCTGCAAAGCTCCTGGTGGCTGCCTGTTTGCTGGCTGGTGCATACAGAGTGCATCACCGCACCTATTGTGTTTTCTTTGCATTTTCTTCTAGTATTGGGATGTTCCTGCCTAAAAGGCACTAACTAGGGGGCTTCACCTACACAAAGAAAATCAACGTATCCCTCATGCAGCTCTGAGCTTCTGCGTGTGTCTATTCAAACACAATTTGGCATCTGTACACACAGTATTTCTCCTCTCACTGTAAAAGTGCAAAGGAATAGGAAGAAAATAAGACACAAACTCGTAAAGGTTGTGCATTTCCTCTGAAGCAGTTTGACACAGGCATACCCCAACTAGGAAAGCTCCGTGTATTCCAGTCAGCTGAGCTCTCCTTCAGAACAGATAGACAGACCCTGAAAATAGTTTAACACTCATGAGAAGGAGGTGTTGCCTCTGCTAAAACGCCTGGGTTACCAGATACCACGTTGAAGCGTTAGAGCAAGTGGTGAGAAGCCTCCAACATCTTCAAAGAGTGATGGATCAGTAAGAGCTGGACCAAAACACAGCAGGCGAATTCTTCACCAAGTCCTTGGTCTGTGTCCAATGCCTCCCTGTTTCCATCCTTTCCTTACATTAGGATCCATAGCCCCCTCCCAAAGTCCCTCTGAGTCCCCAGGTCACAGGAATGGCTGGACACCACTACCATGGGTGGGAAGAGTCACCTGGAGCATCACTTCTCACAGCTGCAGGATCTGTGAATGAGAACTTTCCCTCTGGAGGCACAAGTGAAGCGTCCCCCTTTGCTCCTGCACCATTAATTCCTTGTAAATTAATCAGTTATCATGGGCATACGCCTCCTCAGAGGCTGCTGGTAATGAAATGCCGTGCATGTTCTTCCACCCTGCCTGGAGAAGCTGCAATTACACGTGCTGCTTCTCCAGCATTTCACCCAAGGAATTACCCTCATACCAGGAAATTCTGGGAAGGAATTGGCTGCATTGCAGGGGTGAAGTGGCACTAAAATCACTAAAATCTGCTCCCCCTTGCACTGTGCAAGCAAACCAAGGTCCCTGCCGGCATCCCTGGGGCTAGAAGCAGCTCGAGCAAGAGCAGCCCACCTGGGAGATGTGGGGATGCTGGAGGATGGCAGGCAGGGAACTCGCCAGGCAGGCTCCACCATCCTCTCATTAGCAGCTCTCCTCCTCTCAGGATAACGTGACAAGGTTCAAATGAGAGCAGCAATTTTAGACCGTGGAAAAAAATTCCTCCCAAGTACTCAGTGTCCCTGCCAGCATCCAGCCCCATAGCAAAATGCATTGGAGGCAGTGGCTGCCTTTAAATAAGCATTCATCCACCCTGGCTCAGTTGCCCAAGGCTCTACCTTACCTTGACCGTCCTCCCTTCCTCTCTCCCTCCCAGAAACTGGTTCCACCTCAGCAAAGTCTCTTCCTACATCACTTATGAGTCTCTGCCTCCTACATAGCTCCATGACTCCAGTCAGGACCAGTTCTTTGTGGTTGTCATAGCTGGTCCACCTTCAGCCTCCTCTTACTTCTTGGTCCATGCTGGGCTCCTTCACTTACCACATCCACCGCTCACAAAGAGTCCAATTCAGTCCAGACTCTTTGAAAATGTCCCTAGGAAAGCAGAGCAGGAACTGAGGCACTCTTATATACCCTGTGTTAGCCATGCCTGTGTGTCAAACTAAACCCCCCAAGCTGGAAGATCTGCAAAAACTGAGGCCAAAGATGGCTTTGGCACCGCAAAGATGCTCTTGGCATGCAGGAGCGGAAGGTGACCCTGCACGGAGCCACGCGCCCGTGACCGAGACCCAGGAACCAGCGTGACATCCCACACACGTGGACTTCTTGCTTCCTCCTCACATGCACGTCCTGTGACCAGGAACACGCATACCCATTTCCATAAAATTTTCCATATGCTTGTTTCGAACACCGGTGCGATGAAACAGCCCATCACGCTCCCAAAAGACTCAACCCAGGGGTTCAGCTGCGGCTCCCCCCCCCCCCTGAGTAAGTCCCTGAACATCTTTGACCCTCGCTGCCCGCATTTGTCAAACAGATACAAGGATGCATTTTTGGCTCCCTCACAAGGCTGCAGCGAGGACAAATTCATCAGCATTCACAGGCGCCCTTTGATTATCTGCAGGCTAAACAATTACGAGGCAAAGCAAAGGTGGTGATCTCAGATAATAAGGCAAAGAGTAAATACCAGAAGACACGTATAGCTAAAAAGTATGGGTTTGTGTCAGTAAATAGGGAAGTTTGAATGGTCAATGGCTGTCTCATTTCCAGGAGGAAGGTGTCTGGGACTATAAAAGGTCCCCTGGCCTAGCTCACTTCATTCGCTCGTCTTCTCATCCCTTCACCTCTCCTCACTGTTCACCAGGGTAAGTGAGAACATCTAAACCTTCCTTTTCACTGAAGGAAAATGCTATGGGTACCTTAAAACAGCCCCCAACTAGAATTGGGTGTCTGGAATGGGACTTTGGCTAAAGTTGGGCTTTCACGAGCTGGGAACTGGGGGAACTGGAGGTGGGAACGTTAAAGGGTGGGAGCATCAGCAGAGCCGTGTGGGGCACGGGGACGGGGAGCATTTCAGGAGGACCCAGAACAAGGACGACGTGCACTGTGCTGCGTGATTCCTGCTAGGATATTAAGGATGCCCTGGTACCTGTAGGCTGGCATCGACATTGAGGGATAAAGACAGAGAGAAGAGTTACGAGCCAGATTGAATACAAACAAGGCAGCGCTTGGTTTCAGCTCCTCGAATCTCCAAATTTAGCACAGCGTTTTGAATGAATTCTGCATTTCCAAATATCCTGCTCCCAGTCACCCGTAGACTCTCTCTGTTCCTTCTCTTCTAGCTTTGCCTACACTACCGACAACATGTCCAGCGGAGGCTGCGGGTGCTGCGGTGGCAATAGCAACAACAACAGCTACACCGTCTGCTGCTACGGCAGCCCCAAGGGCTACAAGACACCGATGTGCTGCCCTCCTGTGCAGTACTGCCCGCCCGTGCAGAGCTGCTGCATGCCCATGTCCATGCCCATGCCCATGGCCTGCTACACCGTGAGCAGCAACAGCAAC